GGCCAGTGGTGTGGGGTGTCTCCATTTGGCATAAGCTTGGTTACTATGGATTTGAGGTTCCATATCACCTGGTGTTTCATGACATTGAGATGAAATTTCCTTTGTGTGCCATATCTATATGAACTTCTTTGTTTCCAAATTTCCCAGCAAATAAGAGTTGGTGCAGCTTGTAGAACCAACCCATGAATTTTATTCTTTGTTTTTGCATTCCGCCAATTCTTGAAAATCGCCGCAATAGGTGTATTAGGGTGAATAATACCCAAGGGGCTGCCAATATTCTTCCAAATGTGCTGTGCAGCTTCACTTTCCACGAAAACATGTTGCATGGATTCCACCTGCGGGACACTACAACAAGAACATGTCGAACCTATATTAGTACCAAACTTACTAATCATGTCATCAAAAAAGAATTTTCTTTTCATAATTCTCCAAGTTAGAAAGGACATTTTAAAAGGGATTGCCTGATGCCAAACATTCTTTAAAAAATTGTTTTTTAGATTTTTAAATCTAATTAAATGCCACGCTAATTTATTTGAGAATTTTCCATCATCCGACATGGTCCAAATAGGGAAATCATCTTCCTTGTTATTACCTATATCAATTCTAAAAATAAAATCAGTAATGTGAGAAGGAAGAACCTAATTTAACCTGTTGATATCCCATTGCCCATTTGTTAAAAATTCCTTCACCTGAGTTTTGGCCGATTTCCTGATACCTTGGACCTGGTGAGCAAGTGGACCTTCACCAGTCCAATTATCCCACCAGAAGCTTGATGAGCCATTTTGAATGGTCCATTTAATGTGAACTTCCACCTTGCAGCTGGTCTTTAATGTAAGGCCCCGTAAAAATTTCTACTCAAAACCCGAAAGCTCGTAGTGCCATGTTAGGTATATGTGTTACAAATTTGTAAAATTGCTCGCCGCGGTTTGGACCCTTTGGACTGATCTATGCATTAAAAAGTTAACGAATAATATTTTCCAGAAAGGTGCGTTTATGCGGTCCATTATGCGGTCGCATAACAGCTATGCGGACCGCATAGTCACCGTAGAGTCAGACAGTTTGATGGTTAATTTTGAGGTCAACTATGCGGCCCATTATGCGATCGCATAATCAATATGCGGGCCGCATAGTCATCGCATAATCCCCTTGGAGTTTTGCGAGGGGCAGTTCTGCGGTGCAATATGCGACCGAAGAACAGGTATGCGGACCGCATTCTTATCGCATACCCGGCAGTTTGTTCAGGTTTTTGAAGCCATTTCTGCGGTTCCTTTTGCGGACCGCATGTCCATTATGCGATCGCAGATTGCGTCGGGGCTCCTATTTTCTAAATTTTAAAACCCGACCCCATCCCATTAAAAACACCCCGTTAGACCCATTTTCTGATATTTTACTACATATAGAGTGAGAGAGGAAGTCTAGAGAGAGAGGGAGTGATCTTCATCAAGTCCCCACTCAATTCTTGCCCCAAATCCTTGAAGATTGTCAAGTGAAATCACTAGGCCTTCACCCCAAAAGAGGTAAGAACTTGAGCCCTAACCTTTGGTTTCGAAATTCACACTAGAATAAGGAATTAGCTTGTGGTTTCATGGGTATAAAAATGGATTTTCTTACATGCATAAAAGATAATGGGGTATGGGGAGGTTGTGAACTAAAAAGATAGCAATTGGGGTGCAAGATGATGAGAATCCTTCACAAAAGGGTCCTAAAATCACAATGCACACTTAGTGCTTGCTAATATGCTCAAATAATCTAGAACCTTAATCATGTCTCTAATTCTTGGTTCAACTTGCAATTTTCATAAAATAGATCGAAGTTGCTAGAAAATTCCGGAATTTATTGTAAGGATTTAAGGAAAGCTCTATTGAGGTATGTTTGGGTAAAACCCCCTCCTCTTAGAAATTGAGCTTCCATGGTGTCCGTGCAAATGTTGTAAGTCCGAAATTTGATTGATGTAGTACTTGTTATGTCAAGTGAATTGATGTTGTGAAAAATGTATGTGGAAGATGCTTCTCCATGTGTTTAATGTGCCATTATTTGTAAAATTGAGGATGTGTAGAGAACATGAGCTATGAGCTAAATGCCTAAATTTCAAGTCGAGGTTACATTGTGATTAGTATGCCAAACTAGATGAATTCCTCTTTATGCTTATGACTTGAATTGCTTTTGTATGTGCCTATGATCTTAATGGAAAGGTTTAATGTTGAAAATGGGAATAATGTGAAACGTGAGTTATGGAATGTGGCCTAGTGCTAAGTATGATGTGGTAATTGTGGCCCCAAGTGCCGATGAACCAATACATGTGAAACCAAAAATTGAAGTGAGATGATTAACGGAAAAGGGTAACGTCTTGGTGAGATAGCTTAGCCGATCGGGCCATGATCGGACGCCATGTCACACACACATGGTGGTATTATATTGATAATTGAAACTGGAAAGTGAGAATGAAATAAGGGTAACGTCTTGGTAAGACGGCTTAGCCGATCGGGACGTGATCGGACTCCGCTCAAGAAAGCGGTGGTATTGTGAATGATGATGCAACAATATGGAATGCCCCAACCTAAAATTACGGAAACTATGTGAAAACTATGTGAACCTTTTATATTGCTAATGTGGTGATTATTTGAAGCTTTGTAGTCCCTATGATTTCTTTTTACTCTTGTATGGTTGTTCTTTCTAATAGGATGGTGTTTAGTTATACATACTAGTACTATTCCATGGTACTAACACCCCTTTTGCCGGGGGCGCTACATTTTTGAATGAATGTAGGTGGATCCATAGCGGATAGTACTGATCGCGCATAGCGGAGTATCCTCCTCTCAAAGTCTTGGTGAGCCCCTTTCTCCTTAAGGGGTTATGTTGTACATCTTTTGTTGTAGACTTCCACTTTTGAGGTATAGCCGGGGCCTTGTTGCCGGCGTTGTCATAATTTGTCTTTTGTATCCTTAGATACTTCGTAAACGTTTGTGTGGGTTATGTTCGATGTCGGATGGGTCAATGTACTATATAGTAATTCTAAACTCTAGTTCTTCTAAACTGCAACTGTATGAAATCTTGATAACATAACCATGGTTTAAGGTTTGTGATATGAAAATAAATTATCAATGTTGAATGTACGATTTTTGCTATTGCCCAAATAAACGAAAGCATGGTTTTCTTAATCGTATGGAGTTGGGTAGGAAGTGTTAAAAAGGCTTGCTCAGTTGGGTTCACTCGATTGAGCGCCGGTCGCGCCTCGCGAGGTTGGGGCATGGCATTTAACAGGTTTTTCCAACTATGTGAGTCTGCCGAAGCCATGGTTTTACCTACCGGGTGAGATTTTATGCAGTATTTGGCTCTGAGAAAGGTGGCCCATAGAGAGTTCTGTGTTCTAAACCTCCACCATCTCTTAATACTAAAAGTATCAATAACATCTTGCATCTTCCTAATTCCAATGCCACCTTCGTCTTTGGGAAGACACATATTATGCCAAGAACTCCAATGATATTTTTTCGACCCATCTTTCTAACCCCAGAAGAAGTTTGCAAAATGCTTTTCCATGAGAGTAATAGTACCTTTGGGGGGGGGGGGCTCACAGCAGACAGAGTGTAAGTGGGGAAAGATTGTAATACATGCTTGACTAGTGTGATTTTTCCCCCTGGATATAGAATTTTACCTTGCTATCCGTTGATCCTTGTAACAATCTTCGCCAACATTTCATCAAATAAGACTGTGTTTTTCCTTCCATGATAGATGGGGCACCCCAAATAATTGAAAGGAAACTTTTTATCCATGAACCCTGATGCTTGCCTAATTCTATTGATCCTGGATGCAGAGGTATTAGGGGAAGTGATGAAATAACTCTTGTCATTGTTGACTTTTTGCCCCAAAGCCTTTTCATACCTCCTGATTTGTTTCTTGATAAGCTTGATGGATTTCTTGTTACCTCCACAGAAAATGACAATGTCATCAGCATATGCAAGGTGATTGATCTTTGGACCTCTGTTATTCATGCTGAAAGGGGTAAAAATTACACATATGAAGAGATTATTCAATGACCTGGTTAGCACTTCACCACTAATAATGAACAAGGAAGGTGACAGTGGATCTCCCTGTTTCAAACCATGAGATGAGGTAAATAAGCCTTTCCTATCATCATTAATAATAATAGAGTACCAGACTTGTTAACCAGACCCCAAATGATGTCAATCCATTCCTCCGAGAAGCCAAATTTCCTCAAAACTGACATAGTAAAGCTCCAGGACATTCTGTCATATGCTTTCTCCATGTCTAATTTGACAATCACATTACCCCCACATTTTTATGTTTGATGTTCTGTGTGATCTCTTGTGCTAGCAAAATGTTTACAGTAATGGATCTTCCTTTGACGAACCCACTTTGGTTATCTGAAATGAGTCTATGAAGCATAGGATTTAGTCTTCTTGAAAGAATTTTGGATATGATCTTGGCAGTGAAATTGCTTAGACTGATGGGTCTAAATTCTGAGAAGCTACTGGGAGATTCTACTTTAGGAAGTAGAACCAGGCAGGTGTGTGAGAAGAACTTGGTTAGTCTCTTTCCATTGAAAATTTCTTGCATGAAGTCAGTGATATCATCTTTGATTATATCCCAACATTTCTGAAAAAAGGTGTCGTTAAAGCCATCAGGACCAGCTGCACTATTAGCTCCCATATCAAAAACAACATCCCTGATTTCCTCTGTATTAGGTATGGAAGTCAGGACAATGTTGTCTTCTTCAGTAATTATCCTGGGAATGCATTCAAGTATATCATTATCATTGAATTGATGCTTGATGTTGAATCTCTTGTGGAGGTGTCTAATAGCGGCTTTTGCAATGTTATCTTCACCTTCCACCCATCTGTCTCTATGATCTTTGATCTTGTGAAGTTGTAGCATTCTTCTTCTTCCCCTAATTAGACTATGATGTACTTGGTATTAGAATCACCTTCTTCGAACCACTTGATGTTTGCTTTCTGTTTAAGAATGGAGTCTTGCCTGGTCAGCTATTTGATGTATTCAGCTTGCCCTCTATTAAGCTCTTCTCTAGATAGGTCAGCATTGTGTTGTAGATCAAGTTCTTCAAGGACATTCATTTTGGCTTCCCAGTGTTGAACATGCTCATACACATTTCCAATCTCCTCCTTAGACCATCGTGTAAGCTTTTTGCTAAGTCTTTTTAGTTTCTGTTGAAGTATCCACAATGCATTCCCACTAATATTAGAGTTCCACATATCTTCTACCAGGTTCATGAAGGAAGGATGCTCCACCCAGAAGTCCAAGAATTTGAAGTACTTAATGCCATTGTTGTTTGTATTATAGCACTTGAGAAGTAAAGGTCTATGGTCAGAACCAGTTCTTGGGAGATGCTTGACAACATTATTTTGCATAAGCTGGCACCACGAGTAATTAGCAAAGACTCTATCAAGCCTCTTCCAAACTCTTCTTCTAGCCTCCCAATTATTGCACCAAGTGAATTTACGCCCAACATAGCCCAAATCCTTAACTTCACAGTTGTTCATGCAGGAGCTGAAGTCTAAACTTTTATACATTCTGTGAGGCCGACCTCCCTGTTTCTCTTCCGGATCCAGAATAACATTGAAGTCATCTCCAATGCACCACGGGCCATCAATCATCATGTGTGTGTCTTCCAAGCTACACCATAGGTTTTTTCTTTCGTTAGCGTTACATTTTGCATAAACTGCAGTTGGGAACATACTCTTGGCATCCACCCCATTATGTATTTTGATAGTGATTTATTGATCATCCACAATAATCACACTTGATTGAAAGTTTTCAGACCACATGAGCCAAATTTTCCTATTTGTGTTGGATATGCAATGCTTAAGTCTCAGAAATTTCATGTATTTGTTGATCTTGTTCATACTGACAAAAGGTTTCATGAGCGCTATGAAATCTACTTTGTTGATGTTGACAAGGTTTTTAAGTCTAGGCATGGCCTTTTTTGTGTTAACTCCTCTAGTGTTCCAAAAAATGACACTAATCATGGAATAATGAGGGAAATTAGTTTGATCTACCTCCGTGAGGAGGCGCATTGTCATTTTGTTTTTTCTTCTTTTCCTTCTTTTTGTTCTGATTCTTGCTTCTGATCACAGGAGAGAATTTTTCTTCATTGTCATGGTCCTGCTCATTCTGTAGTTGATTCTCTGGTATCCTAACAGTCACAGTATTTGGAGATGTGATCTCAAATTGTTGTTGTGTTTCTTTTCTCATTGAGACTGAATCACTGTTGCTTTGTTGATGCACTGGGTTAAGATCTGGTTCAAGACATATTCCAGGCAAAATTTTGATTTCTGAGGGGATACTGACTAACTCATTGACATACTCTTGCCATTCCAACTCCTTGGTTGTCTTGACCACATCATTACTCGATTTCAAGACAATTTCCTCATTATCCGAAGGGCCTTCATTCATGATCTCATTGGTACTCCTTTCTTTTATGATTTCTTCACTGTTACACCCCTCTGTTGTGTTTATTTTGCTGCTGCTAATCTGAAGGTTTTCTTCATTAGGCAATAACACAGTTTTGCTTTTTAAGCTGCTGGAAAATTTGACATGTTTGAAAGCAACTTTAGACCTCTTTTTTGGATTTTTTTTTTCTTCTAACCTTGTTCTTCTTTGTAGTTCTACTCTTGATTCTTTGCTGCTTTGGCAAGTCTTCATTTATACTCTGATCCCTGGCAGTTTCGTTTTGTACCTGAGCAATTCTACAGGTCTGATCATCAGTGTTATTTTCAGACTTATTAAAACTCTGTTTCCTCTGTGTTCTGCCTTGCCCCTGTTTCTTCTGGGAATGCTGCGATTCATTTGAGCTGCCAGCTTCCCCTATTTCACCCTCGTTATTCACTACATTCTTTGCCTTAATTTCAGCTTCTTCCCTTCCTTCTTTGTTCAATTCTTCCTCTTGTTATCTCTTTTCCAGCTCTCTTTTCCTCTCTAAAACTCTACAATTCATCATATTGTGACCAAGTTTTCTACAGTGTTTACAATATTTAGGAACCCCTTCATATTCAAGTTTTTGTATGAACCCTTTTTGAGGAGCATTCTCGAATACCTGTCCAACATAAACAGCATCTGGTTGCTATTTAAGTAAATCAATTTCAATTCGAACCTTCGCCATGCTAGGTCTCGTTTTACCACGCGTAGCTAGTTCCATTTCCAATAGCGTTCCGACGGCACTGACTACTTGCTTAACATACTGTCATGTGTGCATATGAAAGGGGAGACCAGGTAACAACACCCATACCGGTGCCACTGGGAGGTCGTCCTCTAGCTTAAAATTCGGAGACCACCTCTGAAACCACATTTGTTGTCCCTCATTCAATTACTCTCTTGAACCAGACCACATTGAAATCATCTTCATTTGTAAAATTCAGAAACACATTAAAGTTATCATAAACCCCAAATTTCACATTATCTTTGATGGAGATTAGCTCTTTGAATTTTGACCTAATTCGGTCGATTTGGGGCCTAGGTTTAAGGAATCTACCCACAATTGTGTGTTTACATTCTTTAGCCATGATTACATAGTAGTCTGATGCCTTGAATAAAACTGTCGGCATCCCATTATGAGTAGAGTGAGTTGCTATTACAGACTCCCTTGCATGTTGATTTGGGGGTTAAAATTGTTTAGAGGCTGAATTGTATCTGCATAGGAGATCTTTTTGTTAGCTATTTCAAAAATTTACTTTGTAGGTTGATGAGGAGTGTTTTGGCCATGCAGACGCGCCGGAGTGTGGGGGGGGGGGGGGGGAGGCGCCGTTCGGTGGATCCATGGCAGTGGCGCGTGGGCCTACTCGTTGGGAGTTAGCCGTTAGCAAACCGTTGTTTTAGAGAGAGATGAGAGAGAATTTTTTTTTAATTACTAGTAATATATAGAAATAGGAGTTGAAGTGTACGAACATTGGAACGAACACTGGCAAAATGGAAATTATAGATGTTTGTCATGGGCATTGTTTCATTTTGCTCTTCAAAATCAGCAATTTTATTCTCCCCAGTTTTATGACACGTGTTGGTTTTTGTATTTTTGTCTTCCACTTTCATTGATCCCATTTTTCCACTTCAATATCAGTCATTTCCCTGCTTTCCTCCTTCGAAAAATGCTCACCTTTTCTTCTCTGATTTTTCCTCTTCTTCATTGTGTTGTTAATTTTCTTTTTAGGTCTTGGTTAACTCCAAGATATGTTTTATTATTCTTTTTCTAAATGTATTCTTGGTTCATCTGATATCACACATTTCTGAAGTGTTACATGTGAGTAATTTCTTTTATTTTAATAAAATTTTAAATTTTAACCTAAGATTTGAAATTGGGGTAGTAAAAATTCACTATGACCAAGCAACTGAAACGCACATAGAATTTTTTGGGGTGCAAGAGGAATAAACGATGAAGGTTGCAAAGAAACTGCTTTTAAGTAATCTCTCGGCGGCTCATATTGAGAGGTAATGAATAAAATTTCTTCTTCCTGAAAAACTATTAAGAACTTTTTATTAGGTTATTTTAATATTTCATATTGATTGTCATGATTTGCGTTAATTGGTATTTCAATACTTATAGTATATATAAAAAATGAATTGTATGTATGAGCTTCAGACACATTGGTATTTCATTTATAAGGAATTGGTTCCAAAATGACAACCTCATAAACATGCTTCATTCGACTTTTTTAGGGAGTGAAATTTGGTGTTAATTTGGTCCCTACTTTCGTCCTATCCTGTTCGTATCTTCATCTTCTGTATTTATGAGTATTTCTTTGGTGTTTTCTATTTTGCTACCCCATTTTATATATGAATATTTGATTTATCATTGAGTTGCATATGTCTAAGATTTCATTGATATTGTCAGTTCAGTTCCTTATCCCCTTTGGGTTTGGTTAGAGCACATGTAGCGTGCGAACTAATTCCCTCGACTGGAAACTGCAGGCCCTTCTTTTTTACAATAACATGAGATGAGATAAGGGCGTTGTTGCTATCTCTGAACTTGTGAAGCACTCTCCAATATTGGAGGATTTCATGTTCATATACAATGATTGGATCTGATGAAGATAAGGACGTCATACACTATCTTTCACAAGCAGTTGGAGTATGCACCAACTTAATGGGGGTTGACTGGCATGAAAGATGTATACCGAGGAAGTTGAACTTGTATTGAGCAAAGTCATATCGAGTTTGTTTGTCAAACTTAACTGAAATCTCACCCGAGTTACTTTAATTTGTAGGATAACGTCTTCACTTCTCTTGCTAATGCCCTTAATAAATTTGTTCCATTCTTGGAGTTTTAGAAAGACATCTGTTGGACTAGGTCCATTTGATTGTGGTTGATTTATTTCTTTACTTTGGGCCAGTAATAAGGGCCCAATTTTGTATTTATCTGAGGCCTTATTATTTTGTACAAACACTTGATTTCATTTTACACAGCACATAATAGAAAATATCCAGAAGCTTTTTCTTTCTCTCTCTAATGGAGATACTCGATTTTCATTCTTCATGCTTTCAATCTGAGAAATATATCTGTTTACCGGAAAAATGGTAATAACAATTAAATTTGATTGTGAGGTTCTAAAAATACGTGATCTATTTTTATGCTAGTTGTTAAGCGAGGGATGCTAAGTAAAAGGTTAGAAATCAGGATTATAGCTTAGAAATGACAAGATGATCGAACCAAACGGTGGCGGATCAGAGGCCTCGAGCTGTCGATTACAGGGCCTCGGGGTCGAACTGGGTGGTCGATTCGGGGCAGCCAAAGGGGAGATAACAGTTATACGAGCCATGGCGATGGCTTTTTTATGACCAATGATAGGCAATAAATGAAGAACAATAAATAGAATACATTGAATGTAAGCAATTAATGAAGTAATGAACTCAAGAGAATATGTTAGAGAGTAGAAGGAATGTTCTTGTGTATTTAGTATTGAGCATCAGATTTGTACAAATGACAAGGATCCCCTTTATACATGAGGGGGAACATAGTAAAAAAGCATTAAATTACAAAGATATGGACTGACACGGCCATTTAGTGCCTTGATTCTCCTTTTTACTAGCCCACTAGACTTGACAAGCTATACGTACGCGCCTTGGGAACTTCACCTTGGTCCGCCGAGACCACTAATTCACATTTCTTCGGGGCCGGTCATTACTTATACTATCTCGAAGTCGACCATCGAGAATTTTCGGAGTCGATCACAAGAAACCCTCGAGATGCATTGATGCTCGTGAAATCGAACCGTTGATTTCTACTGTATACAGATAGTCCCCGCGTTTCCTAGAACAAAGTGATAGGAAATGATTTTGAACTCCTACCCCATAAGCATCATCGTCATGACGTCAGCTCATCAGAGCATTAAATGCCATACTCAAAAAGCCGCGCACGGGTCGCCGTTAAACACGACTATCGAGAAGCCCACGAACCGCTATTGGTTCGTCCTTTCCGCTGCCCACATGGCTCCTATAAATGCATTAGTCTTTTGATAATTCATACTTTCACAACACCTTCAAATTTTCAGGGCCTGATCCATCCCCTTTCACATTCTTTCTTCTTCCGTTCTCGATCCTTTTCCTGCTTTCTCAGAAAAGCTTTGCCACCATCATGGATAGAACTTCCAAGACAGTTCCTCAAAAAGAC